ATACATAATATATGGGCAAGTTATTATTTATAAAAAAATAATTTTATATCCTACCATTTTTATTTAGATAAAAGAATATAAAATAAACAATATATAAATATACAATCATTATAACAAGATTCTATATATTTTAAAACTCCAAATATCGGCCCCGATTTGATCCGATATTTAATTTCGGCGTAGCCCTACATTATTGTATTACAAAATCTTTGATCCAATCTCCTAAGCTTATTTTCTGTTCTCCAAGATGTAGTTTTGTTGAAGCATTTGGGTTGATTTTTCAAAACAGCTCGATTAAGATTTTAGCCAAAATTATATTATGTAAGCCTCGAGATTTGGCAAACAGATTTTCATACCTTTCTTATGAGCACGATCTCCAAATTCATATATTATTATAATTAGGGGTATACCTATACCACTTTTTGGAGGCCGATCCGATATTCCCGATATTAAATTGATATCGGTCGATTACCGATCCGATTTCATATCTAATTTTGTATTCTGTAAAGATACAATAATTTTAATTTTTAATATACTTTTTATTAGTATAACATCTATAATTTAACTATCCCATAACTTATGTCATTTAAATATAATATAATGATCAGTTATAGTTTATATTCAATTCAATCGCAATTCTAAAAGTATATAAAAAAGATTTTATTGTTAAATCACTTTTATTTAATAAGTAATAACAATAATCTATATACATATTGAGTAATAAACAAATATATTATGAAATTTGAAATAAATATTAAAAATAATATTTAACATTAATATATCGACGATTTCTTTTTAGAAATGCCAAAATTTCCAATTTATCAGAGGTCAGCCTGCTGCGATGGTAAGTGTCATATCACCAGCTTCACTAAAAACAGATTCTGAAGAGATTATAACACACTTTTATAAACAGAATGCGCAAAAAAATAACAATATGGCAGAATGTTTATTTATTAATTATTATTATTAAAAAAAATATACATAAAAATGGATTTCGATTTTATTTATAAAAATAAAATTCTCCTCGTTAAAAGAGCTGTTTATTAAGTATAATACTACAATCCCCTCATCAGCCCCTGTAGAGCGCGTTTTTAATATAACGCCGTGTTAACTGCCAACTGTTCCTATCTATCAGATAAATATTTTGAAAACAATTGTTATTAAAATTTAATATGAAAAATTTTTAATAAATAAAAATATCATTTTATTCGCTATATTATATTATATTTATAATTATATAAAGTGAACTTGAACGTAAACGCGTTCGATTTTTTTAGAAATGTTTACAGCATTAGATTTTAGATATAACTTTTTTTTAAAATTTTATTTTTGTTAAAGACGCCATTTTATATCGGATCGGAAAATTTTATAATATTGGCTGATAACCGATTATTAAAATGGGTGAAATATCGATCCGATCCGATAAAAAATATCTGTATATCCCTAATTATAATCTTAAGGTTTTTTAAAAAAATCAAGCCGTATCGGGCTTTTTAACGACTCTACTAAAATGCAAGAATCACTGCTTTATTATGACTGATTTCGATATAGTTGAGTGATAACTATTTTTTTTACCAATTACAAAAGTAGTTATATCAAATTTTTATCTAAAAACTATCACATAACCCTCAAAGTTATCTTTGAAAATTTAGCAAAAGTCTTGAGAAAATAGAAAAGATTAACTCACCCCCCAGAGTTGTTAAATTGTTTTTGACAAATAGCAATGATAATTATGTATTACGTTTTTGAGAGTAGTGTTTTTCAATTATATTTAATAAATATTAACGAAAATTAAATTTTAAATTTTGTTTATAATGTAATTTATAAATTTAAATATGTAATTTTGAAATATAAATTTATTATTGTTTAAATTTTTTAAATATTTTTTTCGTGTTAACTGGGAAGGGGTGATGGGGGATACTAAATATTAAAAAAAAAAAACACCAAGACCAGAGTTGTTAAACGAGTGAATTACATATTTTTGAACAAAAATAGTAGGGTTACTCATTTTGAAACAGCACTCAAATTCGCAGCTTTTAGTTAAATAAAATAAATATAAATTTTTATATTAATATAATTACATCTATATTTTTAACTTTTTTCACATGTATTGAGGAAATACAAAAGAATAATGATTGAAAAAAAATTAATCATGTGAAACTATCCATAAGGGACTTAAATTATAGTAGAGAAAGTTAAACTTCACTACTGTTAAATTTAACCAAATAAAAAGGATAAGAATGAAAGATCCAAAAAAAATATATGATAATATTAATAATAATAAATATTAAAAAAAAGTTGCTGTTAAAAATTGAAAATTACTTACATGCCAAAAAATTCCTTTTCAAATACTATTATTTTAACCCTTTGATGCCTAACTTTTTGATAATTAAAAAAAAAAATTTCTATCTCCATAGGTGCCCAAAATTTCGTAAAAAAAATGATGATGCAATTTGACATCATCAGATATTGTAATACAAAAAAAATACAAATATCTATTTATTATGAAAGTCTTGAAAACATTTCTATATTGATTAAAACAAAAATATATTACATTTTGCACATTTTGTTCTGGAGTATGCATATCTTGCATCTTTACCTCGTTTCGCAAACATCCGACCAATGACTAATGTTGTCATATATGATATCGGATATAGAATCCATTATAAAAGAACTTTTTTTTTATTATCAACATTCAAAGGTCTCCCATATTTTCTTTTACTAATTTTCCCTGCCGATAACAATGCTTTAACAATATGTGTTTTAAATTGATAAGTTTCATGAATTTTTTTTATGGCATATTTACCGTCCATACAAAAGCCATGAATATACTACATACATATCAATGAGATGAAAATGATTCTCAGAAAGAACCTTTTACCTTTAATATCTAATCGATAGCATTCAACAAGCATATTATGTAAATCACTCCTCCCATACCTTCGTTATACATTTTTAATATATTTGGTCTTGGCACTTCAATATATTTTTTGCTACTTAGTGACTATCTTTTTACATTTACTATCTGATGAACACCGACAAAGGGTGAGATGACGTGCACACATTTATTGTCATACCATTTGACATTTATTATATTTTCTTTTTTATCAACTAATTATTATTGATTTATAAATATATGTCAATCAATTTATAGTTGATAATTATAAAAATAATATAGATATTGATTGTTTATTACATATTTATTGATATTGATAAATATCGCGGATGGATATATAAAAAGATTGTAGTTCTTTGTTTTGTAATTAGGAATGAGTTTTTACTTTAAAAAAAAACTTGGTACTTGATATACTGTTCGACGGAATATATTTGAATAAAAACGATTACAAAAAAAAGAGTTGTAATTTTGAAGTAAAGTTATACTTATTTTAATTATATTTTCTTTTTTATCAACTCTACATACATTGCTCCCGCAACCTTATCTTTTTAAGTCTTTATTCATTTTAACTTGCAATCTTTCATCCGCTTATAATAATCCCTACCATAAATATACCGATTTCTTTTAATTTTTTGCCAATGCTATTGTAGAAAAATACCGGCCAATGCAAAACTTTGATACTCCATTTATAAGGCTTCGATTTTATATATTGTTTTAATGAAATCTGCCCTTTGAACGGGATGATTAGTTCATCAATACATATTTTCTGGTTCTATCTCGACTTAAAGGTTATTATATATAGGAATTTATGAAGTTGAAGGAGGCTCATCGTAAAGAGTATACAAAATATCTATTTCATTGATTCATCGATGTCGCCATTCCGAAATATCTCCCTCGACTAGTAAAGAATTATTTGGCATCTATGAATTATACAGAATCATTTAAAAAAATAGATCTTATTAACGTCAAATTCAAAATTGGTGTGGTCTGTTTGGATTTAGAGTACATTTTATGCTGAAATTTAATTATAACTATAGAAAATCATTATAAATATAAAATTGTTTATAAATGGTATTCCAAAATCCCAATACCTTATTTTGTAATCATACACTTTAAGTTGATATAAAAAAGAGCATATTCATTTTTAATAAAATAATTATTCATAATATTATACGCTTACCTTTAATAATGAATAAAAATTTTAGAATTATTAAATATTATCCACAGAATTGGTTATATTGTCTTTATAAAATCATATAATTCACTATGGTAAAGATAAAATTATGAAAATATGATTTGATGAAATTTAAAAATAAAACATTATGAGTTAATAATTTTAATAAAATATGAAATTTTTTTTATTATATTTATATTATATGATGTTAATTAAGTCTATAGGCTTTTATAAATTTAAAATATATTATTGTATTATATGATGTCAAAAAAAATCGTGAGACTTTAAAGGGTTAAAATCATATTTATTCATTAATATGGGCAATATTAATGATAAACTATCAATGAGAGACGCCTTTCTATGAAATCCTCATAGATAATCTAACATTATTCCTAATTATTAGCTTGTTGTTATTATCGTACTTTTTTTTCTGTCTTAAATGGCGCCGCGAAATTGACTTAATCTACCATACATATAACAAACTCCTCTAAGAACTTAACATAATGGAAAGCATATTAATTTTTTAAAATTTGGAATAATTAAACCTTCTAGATATAAACTTCAAAAATGAAGTTAAAATTAAATACTGAAAGCAGGTCACGTTCTTTTCGGCTTTAACCCCTTACCGAACAAATTTTATAAACATCTTCTGCCACCTCTTGAATATTTCCTTTATATTGAAAACGTTTCAATTAAATAGTCAAATTATATTATACCTCGACATATCCCCAAAATCAATAAAATTTCAGTCCAACTAATTCTTTCTATTTGATGTTCGCTTTAAATTTTTTTTAGTTTTACCAATAAAAAAGTTCATTTGCATATGTAAAATAGTGAAGATCATGGTACTCTCAGTACTAATCCAGGTTCACTGATTTTCGCAAAACAATTATTTAAATTTATCTTACTAGCAAAATTTTTATTTTATAGATTAAAAAAGTGTTGTTGAATAATGATTGGGAGTCCAGGGTGTCCGCGGGAAAAGCAGTTGAACATCTGATACTTAATTTGCAATCATTACAGAGTTGGATTGACATCCTGAGAGCCCATGGTTAAACTAATAGATTCGTAATGTTTTAATATTTTTTTTTTCAGACATATTACAAGATAAAGATAGTAAACTCCCACGAGATTTCGATGTTGATATCAAAATTTTGCACCAATTTATGCAGTTGTCTATACTAGATGCCGGAAAAAATATCGCTGAAAAGGAAGAAAGTATTAAAAATCAGTTATTACGACTTTCACTTGATATAAATAAATTATGTATTTTTAAAAACAATTGTTTAGAAACGTTGAACACTATAACTCGAAAAGAAAGAATAAAATTGGAAAAACAAAAAATAAACAATCAATTGGGGTTGGGCATAAAAGTTGGAAACCATTCATTATGCGAAATAAGTTCAATTATATTGGAAGAAGATTTAGAGATCTACCAAGCGGAATCAGCTGCGAATATATTGCAAGAATCTAAATTTAAAGTTTACGGATAATTTTTTTTATATTAATGACCAACTATTTATAATAATATACATACTTAGTCTAAATTGTAACATTCCAGAAATGTTTTGGAAACAATGTCCCATTATATAGAAACAAGGGAATAGCGGGAACATTATTTTTTAAAATACCAGGAATATGTTCTAGAGGTCTGCATTGGGCGGGTTTTTGTACCAAAAGCCCGTCCATCCAATGATTTAAAAAAAATTTAACCCGCCCGCCCAACCCGCCCATAGTTTCAAAAAAATATATATCCGCCCGCCCTCGCCCATTAGTCTAAAATTATTTACCCGCCCGCCCATTATTTATAAAAAATTTTAACCCTAGTCCGCTTATAAAATTTAATTATGGTCATTCTTTCATTTTTTTAAGCATCTAATAAAAATATTTCAGCATTACACCTCTACAAAAAGTTTATAATTTAGGAAATTAATATAAGTATAAAAATAATCAATGTAAATTATGGACAATTTATTTGATCAAATTGAATATTTATGAAAAAAATATAAATGTAAAATTAATATTATATGTAATTATAATGCAAAAATAATAATGAATCGACATTTTCTGGATTCAAACACGTTCTTCTTTGTTCTAAAAATCTTCCAGCAATGCTAAATCCGCGTTCGGAAGAAGCACTAGAAAAGTTTTATTACATTCCCATAAAAGGAAATTTTTAATAGACAAAAATATTTATTTATTCTAAGAAAAAAGATTTATTGTTGTGTTTATTACATAATATAGTTAGGTAAATGTTCTTCACTTAAAAAAAACGATTGGTACAATAAAAAAAGAAATATTGTTATAAATCATTTAAGCAATTATTTTTTTAGTTTGTTTTTGAACAAAAATTTTAATTCCTTAACCCGCTTTCCCATTGTTCGGGCCGAAACCCCGCCCAATGCAGACCTCTTATATGTTCCATAGGTTCCAGAATGTTTTACACGATTTTAAGAGTTCTCGTAAAATGTGTGGACTTCATGGAATGTTTTGAATATTAAAATTCGAAATTAACGGGAACTAAACATTTTTAATCCTATTCTTTCGTTTCCAAAATGCTTCAGTTCCTTAGTATAAAATTTTTATGTTATATCATTGGTGTGTTTCTATCGCGCATTTACACGCACCAAAAAGTCAATTGCCTTTACATCTTAGGTTATGATATACAGTGTCTAACCTTATTGATTTTATATGTGTATCTATTAAAATATTCTATAGGGTCGTAAATTATTATATTCAAAATATTTGTTTTCGAGTAGCGCCTGTAGCTAGTTGCAATAGACATTGGTATAGAAATCTCTTTATAACTGTAACCAGGGCTCGCGAATCAGAGAAAGATCTCGTTTTTTTGAAACTAACCTTAGTTTTGTCTACCGGGATATGATATATAGCAGAACGGACGCAACTTTATCATTCCTTTTATCTCAATACATATTTAAATAAAAATAAGTCTTATTATATTTTAATATATGATAACCACGGAAATCATACCCCTTCTATCTTTTTCTCTTGCATTTAATTTTACATCCTAAGGATTATTTAATTTAATTTACTTAACAAAAGTTTCCCTATCATATCATTCAAAACGTGCCTAAGAATACTTTCCGCTCCAAAGCTATTAGTGATCTCAAAGAAACAATAATCAATGACGATCCTGTTCACCTATTATTTATGTTTCTAGTGGATCATTCTTTCGCCGACGACCAAATTTTTCACGCTAAGTGGGAGATTAGGCATGCTTGCTGCATTCTCCTACGACATTTTCTTTATGCGGAAATTGCTGACTCAGATCAAGCACCTTTCAATGGGTATTATTTTAGACTGGAACCTATATTGGTGAGGATGTTTGCTCTAATCGTAAGGGATAGATTTGGAGATTACGTTGGAGAACAGGTTATTAATGTTTATTTATTTTGTTCATAAGACTATCAAATATCTGAAAACGTCTATAGAGGAAATACTTGCAGGGACCCTTACATAATGAAATATCTAGTCCCTGGAAAACTCTCTCAGATGTAATACTGGTTTTCTTTTCATCTAAAGCCTTCCTTCTCTATACATTTCCCAATAAATTTATTGGTATATTAAGGAAATTTTGACTTAGTGTCTTACAGGGTGTATTTAAATCTTTTTTATAATTCAATTTTAAATCGTCAAAATTGTTTGATATAGTTAGTTTAAGATATAAATGTCTAAAATATCAATGTGTAATATAAATTAAGTGAGATATATGACGGTTTTAAAAGGGGGGTGAACTATATCCCACCCAACCAATCCCGTTAATTTTTTTCATCTTACAGTTCAAGGGTTAGTATTACTGTTGCTAATAACCATGTTAGCCCCACAAATATTTGTAAAACCTCAAGATATCAACAAAGGAGAATCAAACCTTTTACGTCATATTTCTTTGACTAAAATCTTGAATCCAGGTTGTTAACAATCACGAATAATAATTATTTTAATAGGTGATTGCTCCTATACGGGAGATGTCTGCTCAAATCATAAGTTTATGTGTTGCACTTGTATCAAAGATTGATGTAGACAAAGGAAAATGGAAGCTATCTAAAATTATCGAGACATATGCTCTTATGCTTTCAGGTGTTAAGGGCAAATGTGATAGTGCTTTTCCTTGGGCAATCAGACATGGTGCCATTCTGGGTTTGAAATATCTTTTGCCGCAGGTTTTTCAAAGCCAGGTTTTTTTATGTATTAATTAACATATTCTCATTAAATAAAATAATATATTTAATTGTCGATGATATAGGATATGGGCCATTCCAACGATTCGGCCTACCCCTTAAAATTGTTAAAAATATGTGTAATTATTTAGATAGGTACATAAATGAGAAAGCCGTTTATTTTAGCTCGCTAGCACACCTGGTTCCTGAGATATAGAGGCTCAAAGGTGGAAAAAAGAGCCACTTTGGAATCTGTAAAATTTTTAAAATACTTATATCTCAAAAACTATTTATAGTAAAAAAGTATATAATATATCAAATTGTAGGTAAAAAAAATAATCTCTAAAGGGCTTTCAAAAAACAATAAAGATTGGCGCCAATTTGAGCCTTTAACTTCCGGTATACATTTATTGCTTTACCTGTGTTTTTAAGCAAAAAAGGGAGTTTGTTTTCCAAACTTTTTTTGCTTTTTATTTAGACACCTTTTATAAATATATATGCAATGTCAAAACCTTGGCAACGCTATCGACACTTAATTTATCAAAAATTAGGAAAATATATATGGCGCTTTATGAAATTACAAATTTATAGTTAAAATTTTGTTGTTATCTTACCAATAACAATTTTCACTTTTTATACTAAAAAATTTCCAATTTCTATTAAATATACTAAAAACTGAGGGGCAGTGTGGACAAATGCCCATTAGACACTTGAAATCAAATTTCCAATAATAACTATCTTTCATATAATTTTTTATTAATAATATAGAAATATAGATAGATAATCATATTCATTCCATAATTTAAAATTTGCGAAATGTTATAATTAATATTTGCGATTCTGTTGAATTTATATAAAATTTGGCCTCAATTTTATCCTGAAAAATTGGATGATAAGTGTTATTTTCAGGGAAGGCAGGTAAAGAAAAACCAAAAAATATATTTGAAATCTTTTATTTAATTCATTTTTTTTAATTACTATTACTACTGAAGATATTGAAAATTTTACAACCATATATATTATTATTTTAATACTATTTACATATATACAATTTAAGGTTAATTTTTAACAAATTCGTCCTTAAATTAAATTAACATTTACGAAAATTAGGAAAATATAAAAGGTCATTAAATAAATTTAAAAGAAAGAATTTTTACAAAAAGGTCATTAATTACAAAGTAAAAAATATGCAAAATTTATATATTTACAATAAGTATGAAATTTTTGCTTTCCAAGTATTGTACGCGCTTTATTGAATCTCTCTACTAAAATTATTTGCTCTTTCTCATATTCGTCTTCCATAATATAAGAAAAATCTATCCTAAATAAAAAAAATTTATATATTAATAAATTATAAATCTTATACCTTTAATCAGTGGTGTACCGATACCACTTTTTGGAGGCCGATCCTATCCGATATATTGATATCGGCCGATAACCGATCCGATATCATATCTAATTTTGTATTCTGTAAAAATTATAATATATATTAATAAATTATAATTCTTATATATTTAATTAGGAGTGTACCGATACCACTTTTTGGAAGCCGATCCTATCCGATATATTGATATCGGCTGATTGCCGATCCTATATCATATCTAATTTTGTATTCTGTAAAGATACCAATAGTTTGAATTTTTAATATACTTTTTATTAGTATAACATCTATAATTTAACTATATCTAGACATGTGCGCCGTCGGTCAAATACGCCGCTGCCGTTGATTTTTGACCACGCTGACGCCGCCGCCAAAAAGTGTCTGTGCTCAACGCGCATCGCCGATGTAAAAATTTGGCGGCGTGATACATATTTTTTATTTTTAAAAATAATATTTATTTTATATATTATTTATGAATTGTAATTAGAAGAAAAATAATATTAAATATTGTTTGAATTATTAAAAAATGCAATTTTATTTTTTAAAATTAATAAATATTTGCTATAAAAACATTTGATTTTTAATAATCCATATAATACACTTTCCCTCTGGGCAGATCAGTGACCATCGTGCTAGATAAGATAAGGCTAGTAATTTACAGAAAAGGTATTGAAATATTTTTATATATTTTATTCTTTTAATTATTGATGCTTCAAATATTTTGTATGAAACCTTCAATTATTATATAAGGAGTAATACAATATTTTCTTAATGCAATCTATAACTCATCATATAAAATTTATTTTTTATCATAAAAGGAAATTTTAAATAATAATTTTTATTTTATTGCCATTATAACTTATATAAACATAGCAGGACTAAAACAATTATGAATGCAGCATTGCAATACCCTGTAACAAAATACAGTATATCTTTGTAAGCAAAACCTTCTTTTGCATGGAAACATTTTGATCCTTAATATTAAAAAAAACTGGCACAAATAATAAGAGAACCAGTGTTATTGCAGATAAAGTCTTTTCTAATAAATGCTTTCAAGTAGCACTTGATAAAGATGGTGAAGATGAAAATAATTCTTCACTTTCAGAGTAAATTTTTTGATTATTTTTAAAATATTCGCGAATTTTTTAATTAGTAATCCAATCAAATCTTTTTCAAAAAATATCATCACATCAAACATAAAAAAAATATCTAAATAAAATTTAAAATTAACAAAAATTCAATAAATATTCTACTAAATAGAATGGAGAAACCGGATTTCAAATTATTTAACTAATTGAGACTTGGTGCATGAACTTTTAAATTTTCTTAAAACCTTCAAAAATCTCTTGAATTTTTATCCTTCCAAAAAGGAGTTATAAATTTATCCTTATCATTTCGGAGTGAAATTAAGAATCATTTAATTGTAAAAGAATATGATAGTCCTCCCATAGCATCCCTTAAACAAAATATACTTACTAAATTTGATCATAGATTTCCAATAACCGATCTTCAGGTAGTATTTTAAATACATAAATTAGTTATTTTTTATATTATTTCTCTTTGTTTTATGTTTTACTTAGGTGTTAGGAGTATTTTTGGATCCTCGTTTTCAATCTATAAACATAGTAAATGAATATTTAAAGGAAAAAAATATTACTCCGGTGCAATTTTTATATCAACACGCTACCTCTGTTGCTATACACCGACGAATTAACCGAATGTTAAACAACGGAAGTCCTTCAGAATTCGATTATCTTCAGTCATTGGCTACGAAACATTTATCTATTCATAACAATAATCTGGAATAACAAAACTATTTAACTATTCTGGAAAAAGAGTGTTTTTTTATTATTTTCGCCTTATAATTTAGAGATAAAAGATGACTTAGATTTTTGATAAATAAGAGCATTGGATCTTCCTAAACTTCCAATATTATCTAGAAAGGTCCTGTGCGTTTCAGCTACGCACACCCAGCGAGTGTGTATTTTCCATACCTGGGCTCACTCTGAACTCTAAAAGATCATTATATGTACTATAAATCTAAATAAAATAATATTTATACATGATAATTATAACTTAATAAAATCATTAAATTATAGTTATAAACATAATAAGGGATAAATTTTATTTTAAAAGTGTTTCCAATGAATTTATAATTTTAATTTAAAAAATTTAAGTTAGAAAAATATTTGACGCCGCCGCCAGCCGATCGTTTTAAAAAAAGAAACGCTACTGCCGATAATGCTGTCGGCGCACATGTCTAACTATACCATAACTTATGTCATTTAAATATATTACAATGATCAGTTATAGTTTATATTTAATTCAATTGCAATTCTAAAAGTATATAAAATATTTTTATTGTTAAATCACTTTTATTTAATAAGTAATAACAATAATCTATATACATAATGAGTAATAAACATATATATATTGTGAAATTTGAAATAAATATTAAAAATAACATTTAACTTTAATATATCGAAGATTTCTTTTTAGAAATACCAAAATTTCCAACTTATCAGAGGTCAGCCTACGGCGTTGGTAACTGTCAATATCACCAGCTTTCTAAAAATAGATTTTGAAGAGATTATCGCACACTTATAAACAGAATGCGCAAAAAAAATAACAATATGGCAGAATGTTTATTAATTAATTATTATTAAAAATATACATAAAAATGGATTTCGATTTTATTAATAAATGATTTTAGATATAACTTTTTAAAAAAAATTTATAACATTTTATTTTTGTTAAAGACGCCATTCTATATCGGATCGGGAAATTTTATAATATTGGCCTATAACCGATATTTTAAAATGGGTGAAATATCGGCCCGATCCGATAAAAATATCGGTACATCCCTACCTTTAATATTTCCCTTACAATACGCAAAAAACTCTCTAGGACAAGTTTTGTTCTGTAACAGGTCTTTGTAAACTAGTCCTGGCTACTAAACGTTTGACTGTACCTCCGACCCCTTCACTAGCTGAATTGCCTTGAGATGTGGCCCAGAAATGCCACTCAGCTTTTATCTCGAAATCATTTACATGGTGGCAAAGATTGATTAAGTTTTTGCGATTTTTATATTGTGCTGCTGCTCCATCTGAAAATTAGAAGTAATTTTGGGCAAACTCATCAGTATTAATTTTGGGTTTTGATGAATGGAGCAAACACATATTGAATAGTGTACCTTTGTTGCCAACAAATACACAATTCTCGGGACGAAGATCACAAAATTTAGAGAATCCAATTTCAATATTTGAATGAAAATCTTTAAATTTAAGATATGGCTCTCGTAAATTAATTAAAATTAATCATTTTTGAACTTGAATTGTTTTCACTATTTTTTAATATAGAAACAAAAATTGATCGGTAAATTTTTTTGGGTCATCCAGGGTAGAATTATTCTTAGATTCTTGCGATAATAAGTATGTCTTTTTAGGTTAGATTGGTTGCAACATTTTGATATTTTAACATTTGATACGTCCATCTATTGTATGAATAAATTGATCTGCACCTAGAATATATGTTTTTGCACTCTCCAAATCTTGAATGTTATGGGTTGACAGACGATTGTTTAAAATTAATCTGAACGGGCAAGTTAAAAATATTATGTAGAAAGAGAGATCGTTTTAAACAGTTTATTTTGTAAAATAATATGCTCATAAAATATAATAGATAATATGTCTAATAAAATATTCTTTTTTAATGAAACTGTTATACATTATTGAGTCAATAAGTCATTCGCTATAGTAGCAAAGTAGAGATCTAAAAAATGTTAGGATGGTGGGGGATGGGCGCAGAACTGTAAATTTATCACATTTCTTATAAACGTATCAATATTTTTATTTTCCTTAGGAATAATATTTTTAACCATTAGCGCCATCTATTTTTTTCAAATTTTTAAGTATATTTTGGAAGAGTCGATGTCGCCAAAGTTTTGACATTGTATATATATTTAGCAAAGGTGTCAAAATAAAAAGCAAAATAGGTAAATCGAAAGTTTTTGATAGCCCTTTAAAGATTTTTTTTACCTACAATTTGATATATTATATACCTTTTTACTATAAATAGTTTTTATAAGTATTTTAAAAATTTTACAGATTCTTAAGTGGCTCTTTTTTGCACCTTTGAGCCTCTATATCTCGGGAACCAGGTGTGCTAGCGAGCTAAAATAAACGGCTTTCTCATTCATTTACCTATCTAAATAATTCCAGAAATTTTTAAGAATTTTAAAAGGGATCGGCCGAAAATGTTCCCTTTTTGATCGATTCATAGAATGGCCCATATGCTATGCTAAATACTATCCAATTTTATAATAATGTTTATTCTACAATATTTAATGAAAAAACTTATTAATTAGGTTATTAATACACTTTTACTTAAAAAAAATTTAAAATTAAACTTTTTTAATATTAGACGTTGGGAAGCAGATTATTAAAACTCTCTTATAGTTTATTTCGCAATTATTTAAAAAAATAAATTATATATTAATCTTTTATACACATCCTTTCAAATAAGTTTGATTGGCATTCTAGCATAAACTTGATCTTGCCTCTTTTACAACAAGGACTAAAGGACTTATCCGATGATGTAATGTCCATATCAGCCGATTTATTGATATTCCTATGTGACAAACCATGTGATATATCATTGAAAGAAGTTTTATTTTACAATTGATCTCTGATTAGTTTTAAATTTATGCCACATATTAAATCAAAAAATAAAAACAAATATTATAAGATATCCAGCTTATTACTTAGCGATAAAATATTGTAATTCTGATACGGCGGTAAACATTGGTGGGGAAGGGGGGGGGATAAAGATATGTAGTATGTGCCCTTTTTTAAAATTATATAATTCCTCTAACAAATATTCCTATTTAATTCTTAAAAAAATGAAGATAAAACAAATATATATTTTTTACACCCCCATACCAATTATTAAATAAGGAATTAAATCACTTTCTATCTTCCTCATATATATATGCTTTATGACCTGTTTTAAAATTAAATAAAGATTGATATTAGATTGGAAGTAGCAAAAAATATCGACGAGACTTTAGAGACGTTGTCCTACCTAATTTTTAAGATTTTTTTAGGTACCAAATGGCTCAAAATTTTTTATTTGAGATATTACAATATATTACACTACTGATTTTTTTTAAAGAAATTTTTGATGTGTTATTTTATGCTTGGAACTGGGTTCTTTAGGTCTAGATTCAGAGTTCGTTCTGATTCAAAAATGATAATTGATAGTGTTAAAAAAATATTTAATATGTCACGATAAGTTATTTAAATGATAAATAGATCGATAATATCAGATCGATCAACCTTTAAAAAGAAAGCCGATATCCTTTTTTTGGGTGAAATCTAACAGATGAGACAAATAATTTTTTCTTATTAATTTGAAGAATATGGAATATTATATCTTTGGAGAAAAGTCTTAGTCCATATGTAGGATTTTTTTTACTTAAACCGAAATTCAACAATTTTTCAATAGGGGCTAACCTCCTACACGGAATAACAATTTTTTAAAAAAAAAATGTTTACATTCATTTTAATTATAAGGTAAACATTTATATAAATATTTTTTACATAAGCTAGAAAACATTTAGAGGTAGAAATACAATTAAAATTAAAACAGATATTATGAAAGCAGGTCCATGGATGGATAAGACCAACATATTTCTATAGATATTCTATGACTAAGATGATTGTTTTCCTTGGGATCACCATAATAGTAAAGAGTATTTTTCCATAATGTTTTTAGGGGATATGTTGCATCAATACCAAAGTTTCCTAGTGTAGAAGTGACGAAAGGTAGAAATATGACTTTCTACAGAACAGAATATTTTAGGCGTTTCGAAGTTTAGCCAACTAATCTATACAATTATTCTTCTAACTAGAGATTGTCCTCTACTGGGAGTATTATGTCTAGAAATATGCAGATCTAACTGCCATTCAGTCCATTTATTCCCACCCTTATAATTTAGATTTTTTTATTGTAAAATTTTTGCATTTTGAATTTTTATATATAAATGTTTGCCTAATATTTTAAGTGTAAATTATTATAAACAAATGTGGATTATTTCAATAAAAAAATTATATTTTCATAAAATAAAACACAAGCTAAAAGATATGTCCAACACTATTATACACCATTTAAATCCAAGAATTTTTGCTGATGAATCTAGTGTCGATTCGATGACGATCCTTCAAGAAGATTCTACAACATCGCTAGCAGAGAAGAATCTCATTCTTTTGATACGAAAAATTATAGAACGCAATCCAGAATGTTTAAGCTTTGATGCAGAGAAGAATTACGAGAAGAGTTACGTTGAATGGTTAATGGACGCGATGGTATTCCGTTATCTGTATCACATTTCCGGGGAAGTCAGGCTTAACGCTATGCTTACCTTCACGCTTCTTTTGAGTCTAGAGTTTAAGGAGGTTTTACTTTATAATTTTTTTATTTTTGTTAGTGCTTTTTCTGCTTGAAACCTTAAGGATGAGCCAAAATAGTGCAAGCCAATCTTTTAACCTCAATATTCGGCCAAGCCCCTCTGATGTCGTCTCGAGTTATAAGACATTACTTTTAAATGTATTCTCGCATTTTTGATATTAGGAATTAAACGTACGCATCTAATTTTATAACAAGGATATTTCTTTATTCTTTTTTATATTGCCATATACATTATATTTTTAATGAAATATATTTCTAATTTGAATTACAATATTTTTTAAATTTAAACCAATTACTTATTTAATATTGACAAAAAAAAATAAATTAATTTTTAAAGTCTAGTAAAAATTCTGTTATTAGGCTTTAAAATAGAAATTATAAAAAATATTTTTTATTGTTAATTTTTAAAAAAATAATTGAAATATTATAAAAGAGAATCATGACTATTATCATTTATCAGTATCATTTTTTACTTATATCTGTTTTGTTTTGTTCATCGAAAAAATTGATAGTATGAAAATGATGATTATGGGCATAGGAGTTATTATGACAATTTGCACCTTTTTGAAAAATATTTTCACTTATTTATCTGGCCAAAAAAAATGTTTAGCAATTTTGACAAAATAATCTTTTAAGTTTATAAATCTAATGTTAAAGTTACTAAATACAAAGTAAAAATTATAATTTATATTTTACCAACTTGGATTATCAATGTAAAATTTTTTTTTAGTTTCACCGGAATTTAATTACAAATTAAATATTTCGTAACCCTTTAGTAAAACATTAAAATAAAGTCAATAAAAGGTACATTTTTGGCCTACCCCTTTTAAGGTTAAAAATTTCTAGAATTATTTAGTAAAAAATGAGAAAACCTTTTATTTTAGCTCGATAGTGAACCAGGGCTCATAGGTGCAAAAAAGAGCCACTGAATCTTTAAAAATTTTAAAATGCTTATATCTCAAAAACTATTTATAGTAAAATAAATTATATTATATGATATTGTAGGTAAAAAAAGCTCTAAAGTATATCAAAAAATAAAAAAATTTGGCACTTAATTGACGGTTTACCTATATTTATTTACTTATGTTTTTAAGCAATAAAGGGAGTTTGTTTTCAAAAAATTTTAACCTTTTATTTAGAAACCTTTTATAAATATGTATACGATATCAAATTCCATAATATACATTTATACTAAAATTTGAAAGAAAATAGATAGCGCTATACGAAACTACGGATTATGGTTGAAAGAATATTATTCTTAAGGAAAGTGAATACTAATACATTTATAAAAAATAAGATAAAATTTTTCTGTTCTGCCCCCCCCCCCACCTTTTCCCACCATCCATAAAAATTTTTGCATTTTTTTAGATCAACTTTGCTATATAGCGAATGACTTATTAGTTCGATAAAATTGTATAACAGCGGCATTAAAAAGGAATATTTTATTAGCCATATTATTTTACGAGCAAATTATTTTACAAAATAACTGTTAAAATCTAGAGATCTCTCTTTGCATAATATTAATAACTTGCTCGTTAGAAATTCAACCCGTCTGCACGCATATTATTTTGACTCGTCGGTCTGCCAATAACATTCAGGATTTGGAGAGTGGAAAAACATTATTTCTAGGTGCAAACAATTATAATTTTATTCAATATCACAGATGGAAATTTAATGCTGATGAATTTGTCTAAAATTACTTTAAATGGAGATTTAATTAAGATTACTTATAAGAATATACTGCCAAAAATAATTTATAATCCAGCATTACCAAATTGCTTTTTTGGTTATTGTGCTCAATGCCCTGGATCTTTTAAATATTATATTCAAGTGATATCAAATTTATTATCTACAAGCAATGGGGAACTACAGATCGTACAAATTTTATAACTATAACTTTATTAATCTCTAATTTTATAGAAACTCTTTTCGATAAGCTAAATATTTTACTATTACACTCATTATAAAATTAAAATTAATTTAAATATAGGAGAATATGCTCAGGCAGATTATGCTGAAAATTATGCCTTTGTGGTTCAAGATTAAGCACAGAGGTTTCACTGGAATAAAGCGCAAGTCACCATTCATCTTTTTGTGATTTATTACAAGTCACTTAATAATATCTTAATTTCTCATTCATAATACAATTGCCGGTCATTTATTCCAAAAGTATTTTGTTCGTTACTTAACAGATAAATTTTAATGCCGACCAAAAAATTTTTTCTACTTTTCAGATAGAGTAGCATCACAATATATGAATCAAATTTGATCAATGTTGGCCACGATGAAGATGATTTAGGAATAAAAGCTGAGTGGCATTTCTGGGCCACATCTCACATCAAATCGACCTGTGGAGTCGGAGATACGGTAAAACGTTTAGTGCCTAGGGTAGATGACTGCAAAGTAATTTTTTCGCAACCCGAGCCCGAATTTAAAAAATTCTTTGTCCGAGCCTGAACACACATTTTTTAGTCTAACCCGACCCGAGTCCGAATAAAATTTTGCAATTTGAGTTTGAATATTATAATAGCCAAAAAAATATATGTGTATTTATTCATCGCCACCTTAAATAAAAGTTTATTTGACGGCCATAATCTATTCAAGATATATATTAAGTTGTATTTTATTTAATTTGTAAAAAATATTATAAAAAGATTAATATACAAGCGAATTTAAAAATTATAGCGATTATATAAAATACAATAAAAGCATCATTTATGTCGAGTATAGATGATAATGATATAAAAGTTAATATATATTTATATTAACATATTAATATCATTATCAAAAGTATCACGAAGTGAATAATTATGATATATAAATAAAGAGACGTCCAGTTTATCTGGCTTTAAACAAGTCCTTTTCTCTTTGAAGGGAAAACGCTCTTTCACTGCTAGCCGACGAAGCAGGGATAGCTAGGAATTTAAGAGTAAAATACTAAAATTTGGAAACTCATGGTTTGTTTTCCACCAATTTAAAATATTATCATCTTCTATACATAATTTAGAATCTAGCTATTTTTTAAGCTCGTCAACTTCGGTGCTAGCATCAGAAAACGCATTGTCAGCCTCCCATAGAGAGAAATCCAAAAACGTATCTACCTAGGTATTTTCTTAAGAAAAAAAATATTCATAATATAATAATAATATTAAAAGATATATATTTACTTTATTATTTTTTAATAAATAATTTTATTATTAATTTAATGAACCTTTATTTACTACTCTATCAGTTGAGCAGGACCAGATGGTGAGTTGATATTTATAGACTTTTGCCCAATAATATCTCTGTTGATTTTCTCTGCATTCATCAACGTGTTAATATGTTGACACAAATCTTAATAATGTTCTCGGGTTAACATTTTCATATTCCGAAATTTTGGGCACAAAAACGTCGAAATTTGGTGGAATATATCTATTTGAAATTTATTCATAAATATTTCCCGGCATCTTTGCGATAGCTGGTTTAGCTGAAAGTTTAAGTTAGGATGCGCTAAAAAACTCAATATTTTATGATAACACAATATAGCTTTGTGAATAGTGGGTTCTAAATCACTCTCAAGTTCATCACTCTTTCAAAAGGCGTCAGAAACTTGATAAGATCCCTCATCATTTCAAAATCAATATTTTCTAGTCTAATCGACTCTCCTCTGGATTTGAGGATCTCCAATATTTTATTAAATTGATTAAAAATCGATTCAATCATATTTAGCCTGCTATTCCATCTAGTCTCAACACACATATGGAGAGTTTTATCGAGCTGATTAATTAATCTAAAATTTAATGATATATTTTAATAATAAGTTAATTTAACATACCCACTCTGTTTCATATAAGTTACTAAACTTTTACAATCAATAACAATGATATATCTCTAACCTTGAGATTCAATATTTTTGTTATCAAAAGTATTCCTTAATACTGTATTTAATTAATGAGAAGAACAATTTAATCTTTTATGATTTTCAAAAGCTTTAATCATATTTTCTCCTTGGTCGGTATTGATTGAAATTTCCGATAAGTATGCCCTGCTGTATCCTGATATAAAGAATACATGGATTTTTTAAATATTTTTAATGAAACCAATACCTAACAAGGTGAAATTTCTTATAATTTCCTTTTTAATATTTTCACCTGTCTTTTTTTCTTCTTCAAACTTGCATGTAAATAATACAACTTTATTAAGTTTCCAGGAATCATTTAAGAAATGAATTGTAAGAGTTACATAGGATACTTTCTTATAATCACCAGTCCAAAGGTCTGTGGTGGCTATAAAAAATTAATAATAATTTAACCATAATTTCATAAATTTATTACCAGCACATCGACCCTTTTTCATATATGCATTTAATATCGGAAATAATTTATTGCGTATACCATAGCAGTACCTATTAAATTTCTAGAAATTGTCGTGGGATTTGGAATGATGCTTTTAACATTAGTATTTCCATATATTGAACAATTTTGATAAAATATTGGCAACAATCAACAAAGCCTTCTCCATGAATTGTATATAATGATCTCAAATCACGTCCACAAAGCATAGTAAGCACCTTTGTACATTTTTTTTTTAATTTGGTACAACTTTTGAGTTTTTTGGGATCAGTACCAAAAAGGCTATCAATTGTTAATTGAGTATTTTTACTCTCTATTGTATATACACATTTATGCCTTTTTAGTTGATTTGTGCCTAAAATAATTTAATAAGATTATATTTTATGTATAAATATCTAACCTGTTGTAATTGAATTATATACATAAATAAATTTGCAAATAATGCAAATCACATAATTAAATTTTTCTTTGTTTTCATCATATATAAATGAAAACTTTTTCCAGACATCAGATTTGCCATTGATATTTTCCTTTCTTCATACTCATTGGTCCTAATCTTTTCATCAATTTTTTTTAATTTGGCATCAATTTTTTTAATATTAGTCTATTTAATTAGGCTGTGTCTAAAATCTAAAAAAAATATTTAAAATGAC